CTTGGTGTAAAAAGTGGCGTACGCAAGTTTCTGGGCTGAAATTGTGCGTACGCCAGTTTTATAAATCCAACCCCTGCTCTGCAGTTAGATTATAATTAAAGAAGCACAAAGAGAATCAGGAAAGTGATTTGGTAAATGACACGAGGCCTCACACTCAGTGAGTCCTGATCCACTTCAGACCAGCTCCACTCATGTTTCCGGGTCCAGCTGTGCTTTATGAGCCCTCACATGGATCAGTTTGTTTTATTAAGAGCCTTCAGGTTGTCTGCAGTAGTTAACAGGTTAACCAGAGCATTTCCATCATCCTCACAGATTTACAGATTTAGGACATGAACGGGTTGATGAGCAGAAATAAAGAAAAGGGTCACCTCCACASACATGAGACAAGTAGGCTGCAGATCCTCAGCAGAGCTGTGTCCCACTTATTAATGTCCTCTGTGGTCTGAGCTACTTTGTCTCCTGCTTCGTGTACATGAACCTCTGATCTTAGAAAGGTCCAAAAACAGACCTGATAACGATAACAACTGGCCATGGTTGAGTTTTTATTTGAGAGTTTTTTAAACTGTGAAAGTCAACGTGTGTTACTAGTTACATTTATAAATGAGTGTGTCCTTTATTTGTGTGGTTGTGTCCTCCCAGTCGTTCAGGTCCCTGCCTCACAAACCCCTGTTTGTTGACCTGACAGTGGAGGAAGGACAAAGGTTAAAGGTCATCTACGGCTCTGTGTCTGGTTTCCACGCCATTGATGTCGACTCTGGAACACCGTATGACCTCTACCTGCCTGCACACGTGAGCATCTGCTTTGTTGTCTTTTCAGTCTCGGTCATGTGTTGTTGTAAAGCACAGGACACACCCATGGACTGACTTTGACCCATCAACCCACAACTGAGACTCTACAGCTGATAGCTTGGAGGGATGTAGGGAGGTTTGCTTTAAAAGACCTGAAACCAGAAAGCAGCTCATGCTAACATCAAGTAATCCTAACTAATGAGTGTATAATCCATCCATCACCTTTCCCCACTCCAGCCTCCGGTGTGATTGTAAGACAGGTGGGGGTCAGTTTGGACAGGCCTGCAGTCYGTCCCAGGAGACAACCAACCACTCACACCTACRTACAGTTTAGAGTTAACAATYAGCCTAACAAGCATGTTTCTGTTGTGAAAACAAGAGTATTGTGAGAAAAGCCACCAAGAGGACATGGAAACTGCACCCAGGAAGACCCCAGACCACCACTGAGCCCTGCCACCCTCTGGCTGAGAGGCAGCATGTCWACCAACAGTGGGCTTTAAAGCAGACACTTTATTTTCCCTCCATGACTGTTGTCTCAGCCTCAGTAACTAGACGTGGTGGTCTACCTCCCACCTGCTGTCATTGATCCTGGCTCCAGCTGTCCTCCAGGCTTTCTGCTCCTCCTCACACACTCTCATTCTGCCCTCCAACATGTTGTTGCACCTTCTTCCTCTGCTTGTTGTCTGRGSTTAGATTATTTATGCTCTGACTCATTTTGTTTTCATCTTTGTTCAACAGTTCTCTTTTCTAAGAGAGRCTAAACATCTGTCTGTCATTAGAAACAGCTCTGGTTCTGTTCTGGCTCAGGAACACTTCCACACATCACTGTGTGTGAACAGTTCACCGTGCCATTAACAAATGTTAAAGCTCTATCAGACAAAGAGGAGCACTTCCAGGACCACTGCTGTCTCCTCTGAAACATAATTCCTGAGACCCAGAGTCCTCGTGTGGACATTGCATTTCAACTCTCTGCCCATTATACATCAACTTCTTCAACTTGAACTCATTGACCTCATTAGAAGACACTACCAGCTCCCTCTAGTGGTCCCATGACAACATTACACTCATTTGAGTGAAAACAAGATGGCGGGGGGATCCCTTGCTCGGTAGGGGTGTAACAATACATGTACCTGAATTGAACAGAGCTTTAGGTTCAATACACACTTGTATGGAACAATACAGATATTTAACATTTATTTTATCAACTTGTCTTCTGAAGATGCTCTGTGTTGAAGGATCAGTGGATCTGTGTTCGACTACTCCACCTAGGCTGTATTTTTGAGCACAGATCCACTGAGAAACTTGCTGTTTCAGCAACTTTTAATTTAAAAACTGGACTTTTGAGGTTAAACAAATGTTCATAATTAATATAAATAAATTACAAGTTAAAAGGGACATGGACATTTCTCTGGTTGTATTGAAAAAATATCAAACCGTGAGACTAAAGTATCGAACCAAATCGTGAATTTKCTGTATCGTTGCAGSCCTGTTGCTCAGGTATTCCTCAACAAGCATGCCATTTTAAGACCCAGTGTGCTCATATGAGGACATCACTTTTTTTCCCAAAAWCTACTTCCTGTAGCATAGAGTCTAGTTATTATACTTATTAGATCCTACTAATCCCATGTATGTTGGAGAAAGAAAAAAATGCACATCAAACAAAATGTTGGGGTCTCAGGAGGCTGGACCTCAGCAGAGTTTTTTAAGTTTGACAAATAGAAATTTAAAATGATTTTTGGAAAGCTCCAGTATCAAAGAGGAGAGAGACCACCCCCTCCATTATCAGCACAAAGTTCAAAAGCCTGCCTCTCTGATGGTGTAGGGGTGCATTAATGCCTATATCATGGTCTCCTCATGTTCTAATGTCATTAAACATAAAGAGACATGACCTTCTTATAACATGTATATGTAGGGGGTTTGGGTATATTCTAAAATGGATAATTTGTGAATTATTTATTTACACAAATTATCTTACCTCGAGGCACCACGCTCTTAATTTGGTCCAGGATTGACCCAGGAAAGAGACGAAAACCTGTAACTTCATTGTAATCAGTTTCATAATAAATGTACCGAAAATGGTTTGATGAGTTCTTGTCCTTATCAGAACCAATAATATCTTTTATCAAGACACAAAAGTGACATTAGCTTATGTTGCCACGTTCTCCACGGGCCATTTATTTACAGATTAAATGTATTTACAACTATGGTGAGGAAGAAGTGATGACATAATTGAGCCATGTAAAAACTGAGAGAGTTTGCAATAACGAGTAAATAACAACAAACAAACAAAGAAATAAACAAACAACAAATAAACAAAATAAACACTGAGAGGTGAGTTTGCTTTTAGCTGAGGATTTAACTAAGGGGGTCCTAGTTAAATTAGTGAGAAAAATTGTTTAGTTTATTAAATCTCATACAAAGAWAAKAATCAAATTAGTCTGAGCACCTGTKTGTCACCAGGACAAATGTTCACTTTTACCCTTTTGTTCTGCTGATTGCGGTACCAGAAGTAGGCGTCGGCTGACCGAAGGATCTCAGGTGATGTTCCCCAAAGAACTGCTTCAGTGTAGTGGCCGGTCAGACACTCAGGGTGTCTGTTCAGCTGCTGGTCCTTCAGTCAGAAAGATGGGTAATGAGCTGGTGACAACGTGGTCTGGTCCTTCAGGTGGCTGCAGGACTCTTAATCTGATTTCAACTTTGTAGAGAAAACGAACTAAAAACGAAGCATGAATTACATTTAGCTTATTTAACTTCTATAAAATCAAACTCAGATGTTGAGTCGATATTAAACGTTGGCTGTTCGTTCAACCCAGCGGGAAATGCAGTAAGGACCACCATCCTGCCCAGCCCATGGGGAGGGGCTGGCAGGCAGGGCCTCTGCTGAGCTTCTGGAAAACTGTTTCTGACTTCTGATGTTGAAAAACTCTCTTTCTCTCGGGAGCTGTACTAACTTTTAAAACCTCTGTTATGGGCGGAGTCAAGGTTTTAGTTGGCCAATAAAAATATTACACCTTATACAGGAAAAGTTTTTTAACAAATCAAATGTTTTGGAGGGAAAATTTTACTTCAGGACAAATAAAAAGGGAGTGTTTTAGTTTAATTATCTTGCATCTAATTAAAGGGAGAGACATCTGCTTGCCTCAGTAAAATAAGAATGTCACACTTAATTATTAAAGATTCAAGTCCTAAAGTTTCTGAGGATTAAATCATGGAATAAAACACACACTATTTAAAATCATGAAATAAAAGAAACATCTTTAGGAAAACATTTCATCAAAAAAACCCACACAGTTAGCTTCAATAGTTTTGTTCTTTCTGTAAAAGAAACAGGTAAATCACATTTCTTTGTTTAAAATATATGAAAACAGACAGTTGTATAAAAACATTCAATCTTGTTCTCTTTTTTTCACATTTAATGAAGAATGTAGGTCCTTTGTCTCAGTCACTGAAGAGTCTGGTTAAAGGTGTTCATGACCCCCCTTTGAAGAGGAACGAACAGACAGTCCTTATCGTCACTCCAACTTGTGGGGTTCAGAACAGGAATGTGATAATTCTTATCTATTAACATTAAGGTGTCAGGAAGTCTGGTGGGGGTTTGTGTAAGAGATGTTAATTCGAGCCACAAAGGAAGTTCCATGCAGAAGTCTTTAGAAAATAGTCTGAAGTCAAAGTGGAAGTTTTCTTCCTCTCTCTGAGCAGTCATAGGAACAAGTGAAATCTAACCAGAAATGATTATTTTGATGCAGGAAAATGCTACAATTTGTGTTACTGCCATAGAATGAACATGAATTTAACACTTTCTTTTTTSTGTTGTGACTATAGTATGAGTTGTTTGAATTGAAATTTGACACGAGGTGTGACCTTTCACACAGGTAGACTTGTAGATGTGTGAGCTGTGAGCATGTGGCCCTCCTCTGTGTGAATGAAACATTTCTGCTGCTCTGCTGAGTGTGGGCAGGAAGAAAGCTCTGCAGAGTGCTGTGAGTCAGGCTCACATCCTGACAGGTAAATACTGWACGTCTCAACGAGCTGAGGGTTTAAACCATCAACCCTGAGCACAGCTTTCACTGCTCACGGTGAGCAGGTTTGTTCTGTTTGACACTGAGTGGCTGCTGTTTCTGCTTTAAGAATGGATTGACTGGTTTTCAGACCGACAGCCTCATCCTCTCACTGGATCTCTGGTTCAGATTAGGATTGTGTTTCATCTCTAATCTCACATTATGAGGTAGTTTTCTGCAGACAGTGGAGACTGTTGCTTCCTAACAGAAGTTTGGTGTGAAAGCAGGCTGAAGGAGCACTCCCTCCGTCACAGCATCCCCACATGTGCTGCTTCCTGTGAGCCAGGGGGGGTGGAGCTCTAAAAATACACCCCTGCTGTCCTCCTTCTCCTGCAGTCATTAACTCTGTCTGAGAGTCTGCTCCTGGTCCTGGTCCTGCTCCTGGTCCTGCTCCTGGTCCTGCTCCTGCTCCTGGTCCTGCTCCTGGTCCTGATGAGACTTGTTTTGTCTTTCTGAAGTATAGCAGGAGAATCTTCTCAGCTTTATACAACACACTGCTTCTGCTCACCTGCTACACACACACACAGACACAGACACACACACACACACACACACACACACACACACACACACACACACACACATCTATGGTTGTATCTGGTGAACTGTGTAACAATGCTGATTCGGAGGCAGAGGATTAGGATTGCGCTGCGCCTCTGGATGCCTGTTCTCATGCTCAGGATTGTTGTGGCTCACGCTCCGGTAACGTATGAACTCTGATAAACTTTGTGTTGTTAGATTGTTCTGGTCAGGATGAAGAGTTTTAACTTTATTGTTTTAAGTCATGGCTTTAATGTAGAGTGGTGCAGTGGTTACAGCTGTCAGCTCACAGGATCCCTGCCCCTCCGTTCTGTGTGGAGTTTACATGTTGTCACTCTGTGCACACTGGGCTTTCTGCTACAGACCAGAAACATGCATGTTCCCTGCAGGCAGAGTGTGATT